AGTGCTCGAGAGAAAACGAACTCGAGCAGAATTTCCCGCTACTCGGGCGCAATTGTCCGCAACTCAGGCGCAATTCCAAAAGTCTGCAAAGCTGTGCCCTGCAATCCTTGTGTTTGCATGTCTTTGCATTTACCATTGTTGGTGCACTTATTTGCCATGAAATCTTGAGCAATTATTTGTGTATCAATGGGTCCTGCAAACTTTCGGGGATTTTGGGAATGAGCCTCATGTCAAGGAAACCACTTGGAGTCTCCATGACCCCTAGAAAAAGGGGTCATGACCCCTTGATTTTTGGTATTGACCCCTTGATTTTTGGTAATGACCCCATGTTTTTTCGGGTCATGGAGACTCCAGGCAGCCGCAAAGATCAGCCTGGGGTGTCGTTCCAACTCATCCGAAGGGCCCTGCTGCCCGCAAGCCTCGGGCAAGCCTCGGCTAGGAGCTGGCGCCAGAGGCAGGGAGTGAATGCCGCGCGAAACGGCCGAGACGGATTCTGGAATTTCGGGGCGGGTGGGGATCCTGGCTGAAAGGCAACGCCCCCAACTCAGAAGCAGACGCTATAGGCCCGGGGAAGCAAGGAGAGGTTAGGGGCGATACAGGTTGGGGAATGATAGGATTCTCTCAAGATCAACGGGGGAAAACCAGTATGGGTGTTTGACGCGGAGTTCGCAGATGCGGGGGGGGGGGGGTGCTCCTGTTGGTTCTTGTGGTTGTGCTGTCTTCCGCAACCTCCCCAAGTGCCGGAGGTTACTTCGGATTTACGGCACATTCAGATGCCGCAGTGGTTGGGAAAAGAAAGTCCACGAGGTCGGAATCTTTACTGGCTCACCTCCAAAAACTGGTCAGTACTAAAAGCAGTCCATTCATTGGCTTTTTTGGGCTCCCCCCCTCCCCACCTATGCCGCATCTTGGGGCCTCTGGACTCAAGTCACGCCAGTGGGTTTCGTCCTTTTGGGATGAAGGGGCTTCAAGACAAGGTCAACGAGGTACTTGGACGCCCGGAAAGAGCCCTTGGAGTGGGGTGAGCACGCAAAAGAGGTTTGGGATGTTTGGGGTTTTGGGAATGAGCCTCATTTCAAGGAAACCACTTGGAGTCTCCATGACCATTTGAGAACCCCGCTTTCAAATCAAGCACGCAACAGATACCGTGGTTTGGCCATTTCAGAATACAAATGGCTTTGAAGGATACCTGCAGGAGAGGAAAAGGGAACCCCCTTTGGTGGGTTTAAAGGAAAACCAAAAGGAAAACCGGGTCCCCTAAAAAAAGACGAGCCACCTATAAACATGGGGTCATTCCCTGAGAACAAGCAGATGCTCCCGGACTGCAGGAGGAGACCGGGAACAACATGTGCTGCACCAGCGCCACCCCACTGATTGAGCAAAACATGTGCAACATGCGACATGTCATGGAGTCCGCCACGTTGTCCTGTTTTTTCAGCAGTTGTTCTGAATGGAAGTAAATTCAGAAGGAACGGCCGTTAAAACGAGCAAGGGCGGGTGTGGCCCACCTCTGAAAAACACAGGCTTTGACCAAGGAAACAAAGAACGAACCCGTTGCGAAAGCAAGCCGTGCCATACCCAACTGGACATTGGGAGTCTCCAAAGCCCTTCATGATGGGTCCAAGTTGGGGTAAGACGACCATGAGGCGCTTGGGACCGAACTGGAGACATCTCCGGATGAAGAAGGGTGGTTGCCCCAAACAGAAAGAACGTAGCTACCCCGACCATCCAGCTCTTTACTCAAATGAAGAAGGGGCTTTACGGCTTTACCGCTTTACCCAAGCAGGCCTTGCCTCGCATCAAACTCCCCGACTGAGCCCAAATCAAAACCGACACTTGTTGGATGTGCTTGATGTCAAATCTCACTCAAAAAAAAAAAAAACAGAGACTCAGTTGTTCAGTGGCTCCCTTTTTCCTTTTTTTTTTGGTGGCTGCCCCACTAAAATGGTCTTCCCAAAAAGGGTTCCCTTTTTTTCCATGGTCACTGAACAACTGAGGAGACGGAGCAAGAAACTTGACAGACCGAACCGACAGACCGACCGCCCAACCAACCAACTAGCCAGCCAACCAGCCAGCCAGCCAGCCAGCCAGGGCCAACCAACCCTTGAATTTGTTTGATGTCAAAGCCAACGTTGTATCCACGAGGCTGTTGCCAAGAAGGAGGAGGAGCTTGAGCCTCCCTACGAGGCGGGAGTGCGCGCTTCTTTTCATTCCTGACATGGGTGTGTCGTGTTTTAGTGTCCCCCCCCACCAAAAAAACACGAGTCGTGACGTGCTCTTTGCGGTTTTTCTTTAAAGACAACCAAAAGGGGGTCTCCACCCACATGGAGGTGGCTCAAAATGTGTGGTTTGTTTTGTTGTTGTCTTCTGAAAATTGGGCATCCCTCCAGGCCGGTGACTGTGTCTCAAGAACGGAAAAGAGCGACGAGAGGGGCCACAGCCTTTTTTGTTCCGATACGCGAAAGTCCCTGGAAAGCAAAGCAATAAAGCAGCCATGGTTGGCTTAGCCCGCTTTGGTATTACAGAAAAAGCTATTTGCAGGTGAGACCCCAACAAAAAAAGCTATTTGCAGGTCTAATCAGGATCTAAGCATTGGATCGTTTGTTAGGTTGCAAGTTGCTGGCGCTGAAAGGTCGCTGGAACTGTGGCATTGGTGCACTGGAATTCGCAATGGGCCATGCCTTGACGTCCAATGAGCCAATTGCAGTTTTGGCGGCTTCGGAAGATCCCAGTCGAGAGATTTTATTTTTTGCGATGCGTTGCGGGGTTCTTTCTGCAAGGTCCAATTAAAAACCCTTCCCAGATTGATGGGCCCCAGAACTGCTATGGTTCCCGGGGTTGCTGGTCGCAAAGTCCACCCCTTTTCGAGGCCAGGATTTATCCCGCCGCTGCTGCCGCACGTGACATAAGCAATAGCATCTCACCAGCTTGTCTAAAAGGCTAGATCAACGATCTTTGTCTCGCATAATTACAAAACCACAAATGCTAGACCAAAGATCTTTGCCTTTGGTATGTGACCTCATGCCCTGGTTTGTGGGGAGGGGTGGGGGGAGGATCCGGCTGAGTCGAAGCCGCAGCCCGCGACGCAGAAGGCGGGAGCTCGATGGGACAAAACGAGCTTGGCCAAGGGAAAGAAAAAGCCTGGGTAGATGAAGGTTAGTACGGGACAATCATCTATCACTACTGGAAATATTCCTTCTTTTTTTTCTCCCGGAACCAACACATGCTTTTGGACATATGGCTGTGGGACAAAACCAATGGGATCCCATTTTGGGATAGGTGAATTCACCCATGTTAGAACCTTAGTGGGAATTGGGATGTTCACTGGGGATAACGGAATTTTGGGTTTTGACCCATAACCAGAAAGTAAAAACTTCAGATGGCACTCCAAAGTCAGGATCCCTGGACATTATCTTTGGGCATGTGAAGCATCAGCTGAGTTCCTCCACTGGGGGTTTTGGGGAATTTCGATTCAAGGGCATCCCATGACAAGACTTTGGTGCATTCCGCTTGGATAATCAGGACTTCAAAACTTTTTTTCGGCCCCACTTTTGCGTTTTTTTTTTTTTTTTTTTTTTTTTTCCGAATGAAGCCACCAAAAGTTAGAGATCCACTTTCAGCCGGGCTTCGCAGATTTCGCCGCCGAGTTAGGCACTCGCCGGCTCCAAGGGATCGGGGGGTTCCGGTCCCCGGGGTCTTCGTGCGAGTGCGCGATGGGCCCGGAAAACAGCTCGGCTGTCCAAATGGCCGGTGGTCGAGTGGCACCGAATGTTTGTTTCCCCTTTGGTTTTGGGCGGCTGCCCCACGAAAAATGGCCCAGGCCCCAAAAAGGGTTCCTTTAGGTTCCTTTTTTTTTTCCAGGGTCACTGGACAACTGAGAACATGTCAGTCTTTTGACGGACGGAGTGCATGTCAGGCAAAGAAGTGAATGTGGCATCCGATCAAAGCGATGTCTTTGAACTCAACGGTCACACAAAACGATCCCAACCCACATTAGCAAATGACGACTGCGTGAAACGGTTAGAAGGCACTCAATCCTTATGCCACTAACATGTCACCTGTCAGAAGATTATCTGAAGATTGGTTGGTACCCTCCCACAAATGCTATGCTAGTGGGAGAAAGGGCATCAGTTTGACCTCCATTTGCTTAAGAGTTATGTTTTTTTGTTTTCCCTTTTTGGGTGTCAAAAGGAATTCATCACTACTGGAAATATTATTTTTCCTGGGGCCTTAGCCAAATGGAAGTTGAAGAGACCTTTGAGCATGGTACAGTCGTTGGATCTCTCGGTTTTCCCATGCCTCTGACCGTTTTCGGCACGTGAAGCGTCAGCTGAGTTCCTCCATTGGGGGTTTTGTGGGATTTCAAGGGCATCCTATGACAAGACTTTGGTGCATTTTGCTTGGATGTTAGGACTTTAACTTTTTGCCAACTAAGGGGTTTTCCATTAAATCACGAAAAGTTATTCTTTTAGCAGGGGAGCAGAAAGCAACCAAGCAGAGTCTATGAGTCTCAACGCTCGCTCTTCGGAGGTGCTGGGATTCTTGGGATGGTCTTGGGGCGCGTCAGGAGGCCAAGACGGAGCAAAAAGCGAAGACGGAAGAGTTGGAGGCCTGGTGGAAAACGAAAGAAGAGAGATACTCTAGGGGTACCTTCCCCATTCTTTCCAGGGATGCGAATCTTTTCAGGAAACCATCAAAACCCCGGGAAACAGCCGGTTTTTGACAAGAACGATGGTTGAAAAGAATGGGGAATCAACCCCTAGAAGATACGGCAAACGTGGCCGGCCATTGTGACCCCAAAGGCGGAGAGACCTTTTGGAGGCAAACGGCTTTTGCATACCAGAAGGTGAAAAGACCTGCTTGGCAGATCCTCTCAAATCCAGCGTTTTGGCAGCTTTGACAAGTTTTTTTTTAGGGAGTACCGTTGGCAACCAGGTCATAACCCTCGTTACTCGGGTTGCTTATATATGGGGTGTGTGTTTCTCTGAGGGTACCCAAGG